CTATCCCTTACCCCATAGCAGAAGGTGACATTAGGGGTCCCTGGGTGGCTCAGTCAGTTAAGTATCTGACTTCAGCTCAGGTCATGATCTCAGGGTTTGTGAGTTCGAGCCCCGCATCGGGCTCTGTGCTGACAGCTCAGGGCCTGGATGCTTCGGATTCTGTGTCTCCCTCTCTCTCTGCGCCTCCCCCAACCCGCCCTCTCAAAAAAAAAAATAAATATTAAAAAAAATTTTTTTTTAAAAGAAGGTGATTCTATCCTAGATCTGGATAAAAACTGACCTGTAAACAGACTTGAACTCAGTAAAAGATAAGAGGTTGAAAGGCCAGAACTTTCAAGATAAAATCTAATGGGCAAAATAACCTGTGCTTGCCTATTACACATGGATAAGACACGGAGACCTGGCTTAATGGCAGCTTGGTGTTAGTTTTTTGTTCTTTTTTGAAAAATTATTTTATTTTATTTTTTATGTTTAAACTCCTACCGTAATAGGAAATTTAGGATTCTGGTTTTTCTGTTCTGGGTAAGAAGGAGGAGAATGAAAAAAAAAAAAAAAATCCCGCCTCCGCCCCTGCCCGTGTCTGCATGGGCAACACAAAAGCTATAAAGAACTTCCATTCTGAAGCTCTCTACAGACGACAGCCTCCCTGACCAAATGCCAGAGGGCTGGCAAAGATTTCTAAACAGATTAATAAGAGGCTTCGGAGAATGTTAACTCAAAACCGTCGTTCCTGAAATTTAGCTGAGGTCTTTTGCAGAAAAAAGCTGGCCAGTCAAAAAGAAAGACACGGATAAGAGTGTCGTAAGAGTCAGCGATCCAACTGCTGTAATAATGTACCAACACTCTCTGCAAGACTGTCATTACCGTACTAGGGATGCTGTCTTAGAAGTCTGTGAATCGCTGTCATTTAAAAAGCTAATCATAACATAATGTTAACACATGGAAACCAGGCTATTCTTGTTCCCTGGGCTCATGCACCCCAACTGACCACAGCGTTTTCTTAGCACCAGGAAGATCCTTCTTATAGTGTCACCATTTTTGCATTTCCTTCTTTAGAGCCCTCTAAATAAAAACAAAAGCAGAGGGGAGGGGGGGGAACCGTGCAATTTACTACAGGAAGCAAAAGCCAGGATGTGTTTACTGTGTGTATTTCCTGCAACTCACTGGTTCAGTTTCTCTCTCTGAAGATAACGGCAATCAAAAATGACGCATTGCCAAGGTTTCCCAAGCCATTGACATGGCCCCATCACCCGAATCACACACGTGCCTCCACTCTAGCACCCAAACCGTCCACCATACACACACCCAACGGCAAAGAAAAGAAGACCTTCCTAAGAAAGGAAGTCCCGCGGACACTAGGTTTATACTCCCAATGAGATCGGCTGTGAGTTGGCCACATAAAGTTAGCCAGCACACGGTGACACGGTCTCAAAGGATCTCCGCACAAAACACTTATTCATCAGAAAGGGGAAACGAGTCATTTTAAAGTGGAGAAGACTGGGGGCTCAGGAGGGTCAGCATCCAACTTCAGCTCAGGTCATGATCTCATGGTTCATGGGTTCAAGCCCTGCGTCCGGCTCTGTGCTGACAGCTCAGGGCCTGGAGCCTACGTCAGATGTTGTGTGTGTCTCTCTCTCTCTGCCCCTCCCCCTACCTCTCTCTCTCAAAAATAAATAAACATTAAAAAAAAAGAAGCTACCCCAAAGCTTAGAAGCTTAAAACAATGATAAAAAAATAAAGTAAAATAAAATAAAATAAAATAAAATATAAAATAAAATAAAATAAAATAAAGTAAAATAAAATAAAATAAAAATAAAGTAGAGAAAACAGGCAGACACTACACGTGTCACCACCAAGTCACCAAAGTCAAAGTCATGAGTAATGAAACCAATCAACATCATGCACATCCCGATGTGATGCTCTGAGAAGAGCCCGGCACTTTTCCGGTGCTCTTGCTAAACCTGAACTAATCATGACATCAGATGTTCCACAAAATAACCGGCCCGTAATTTGCAAAAAAAAAGCGCTAGCAGTTGAAGGAGGAAGAAAAAATAAAAAGAAGTCTGACACGGTATACAAAGAGGGCGTGGGAAAAACACAACCACACGTGTTCTTGGCTCAGAACAGAGACAACTGGCAAAGCTTGTACGAAATCGCTAGATTGGATAATAACATTAAATGACTGCTAATGTCCAGAGTTTGGCCAGAACGTGAACCATTTGTACTTCCGGTTATAGTAGCCGAACGTCTTTGGTTTTCGTCAATACACAGTGAAGTATGTAGAGCGAAAGGTGCCTCGTGTGTGTAATCTGTTCCCAAATTTTCAGAAAAACACTTCTATACGCAGCTACGGACACACACCTACACGTGTGGGCGGGGGGGGGGGGGGCGGGATGTGGGTGTGGACAGAGAGGAGAGAGAGAATACGATCAAATGGTAAAATGTAAAATGTAAACAACATTTGGGGGATGTGGGCAGCTGAGATAGGGATTCTGTACAAGGTTTTTGCAACGGCTCTAAGTAAAAAGTTTTTCAGCATTACAAAATAGTAATAATGAGGGGCCTCTGGGTGGCCCAGTTGGTTAAGCATCCCACTCGTGATTTCAGCTCAGGTCATGATCTCACGGTTCATGGGACTGAGCCCTGCGTCGGGCTCCGTGCTGTCAGCACGGAGCCTGCTTGGGATTCTCTCTCCCTCTCTCTCTCTCCCTCTCTCTCTCTCTCTCTGCCCCTCCCCTGCTCATGCTCGCTCTGTCTCAAAATAAACTTTAAAACAACAATAATAATAATAATGACCCATGTTGGCCTGAGCTCTTCAAGGAGGGAGCTGGAACAGGAGAAATAACGTAGCACACGTCCCTCACACCTGTTCCCCCATCCCCCGCACTGAGCAGCGCCGTAATGTGCTGAGTTTCCCTGAAGGCGACTGTGGAGGCCTGCGGTGAGTTCTCCTAGGGCACAACTACATCGCCAAATCCCCAGAGCCTGACCCAGGGCCTGCCATATACTAGAGGCTCAAGAAATGGCCAATGAATGAATGAATGAGCTGTAAGAAATATCTGCAAGAAACTGTAGACAGCCCCCAATTTGAGGTACCCCACGGGTCCAGTTGGTAGGATTGCGGCCTCTCGTATAAACAGCTGGGTGGGAACGAGGGCAGGAGGCGTCAGAATAAAGAATTAGGTATGGTTCTCCCAAAGGGTGTTCTTTTTATTGAGGAGGAAGGGGAATTGAGCACGTCCCCAAGAGCTGGCCTGAAATGGCCCTACCCCTTTGGTCTCAGTGAAGAAGGGCATACATTCCGGGTGTGATGTGGGCCAGCATCCAAGGTCTCTATCGGATCCCGCGTAAGCTATCCGATGCACTGAGATAAGAGGAAAGGAAGACCAAGATTTCCCAAGATAACACTAGAGTCTGAAACAACTCCACATTCAGTAAATCCTTCATTATGAACACAATGCCTCATTACATTCTGTTCTTACCTCCCAACCCAACTCGTATTTGGTTTCTCAAATTCACACTGACTACACACATGAGCTACGAATTTGGAATCATTTTAATTACTGAAGTTCAAGAAAGCTTCAAGAAAGTTGGTTAACAGATGAAAAACGTGACTCTGCTTCAAAAATTTAGCTAATTCAAGAACGTCCCGACAGACTGCTTTTCCAGAGACGTTCAATTCTGAGTAGAGATGAAGGGGGGGGGGGGGGCAAAAAAATTTACAATCCTCAGGCCACCGGACTGCAAGTCTTAGGAGCTGTTCCTATAACCCAAAACTGGGTTACAGAAAATTGGGACCTACAAGAAATGTGCTTCCTCGAATCACCGAGATGCAATTTCATGATCACGGACGCCGGGTGATACTATTCCAGAAACAAATTAAACAAGGCGAACCATGGCACCTGGCAGAGGGCAGGACTTCCAGTGGCAAACACGATTTGCATATTAATTCAAATAAGGACTTCTTGCTCTAATAAGGGATACAATTTTCGCAGAATCGCGAGGCGAGACCTGCTACTGCTCACGTGTAGGGACTCGTTCGCCAATTTATTTGAAAATGAGCTCATGCGGCAAAACATAATGGGGGAAGGAAACCTTCCTAATCAATACAAAGTCACCAGTGAGCCCACAGAGGACCCGGGGCAGGCTGGTACAGCTGCTCTCTCCTCTGCTTTTCGCCTGCCACGTCTGGGGGGCCAAGTAGCTCCCTCTCGGAGTCAAGGCCTTTCTGTAACTTAATAAGGATGGGTATGTAACGCACCCTGAGTTTCAGCGGCCAGTGACTACTTTGTTCCTAACATCCTTCAGCTTCCTACCTCCCAGTGCAGAACCATCCCACCTCTCTAGAATGGAGTGGGAAAACGTGGACGTATCACACCTCCTCCTACGTACTTGCAAGGGGTATGTTGTCTGTATAACCCAAAAGGGCATAGGCTAAAGACAACGCACAAGAAAGACACCTGACGCGCCCTCCCTCAAGGGCAGGAGCCGGCTTCTATCCCTTCCATGTTCAGTGTCCTTCCTGTCCCAGACACCGGGTGGCCAATGGCACGGCTCTATCCATGCCAGCTGAAATTGTGAGGATCCATGGCGACCTGAGGCCTGACCTACGGATTCTGTTAGAGACCCCGCTATGGAGTCCGGATAGGACCCCAGATCTATGTGCGACCTGTTACGATGGTGTGGAATTTTTATTCTTTCAGTACTTCTGAATCGATCAGTATCTCCTCCCACCACACTCCTCCCTCCTCCGGGACGACCCATCCTTATGATCCCCCTCGGCTGTTGTACCAGTGTTTTACGGCAACGGCATATTCCGGGGCAAATCAAGCCATCGTCTATGTTTGTCTGAAGAGGAAGCCAAGACAGCGGACCAAAGGACAGTAGGGCAGCTCTTGAAATTTGAACCTTCACGCTGGTCATCAGTTCCCAGTGTGATATTACCAATGAAAAATGCAGAAGCTTTGCCTCTTGGTCCCCACCCAACTGGTTCTTCTTACCTTTGGTTCCATTGAAATGAAACTGTGGGTTCCTCTGCTCGAGAGAACTGACCTTTTAATCGTCCTGCTATGATAGAAATGGTAGTAGTCCTTCAGGGCTCCGATCTGCAAAGACACAAGGGGAAGAACAAAAAGGAGTTAATGGAGTTCAAGGGAGTCTGCTGTGTTCCTGTTTTTCATTACAACAAGAACACAAAACAAAAAAGAAAAAAGGCCCATAAATTATGCAGTTGTCTGCTATGCTTAAATGTTACTTGAACCTTGGTGATCACTTTTCAAAAGAAGGACATGTGATATGAAATGGAGTGTCCTTGAGGCAGGGACTGCGGAACTAAAGATTATAATGGGGCAGCTTAGCCTCTCTGTATCTCCCTTTTAATGTTTAATTTATATGCAGCATTTTAAGTAATTCTATATCCATTTATATCCAAATGTGGGAAAGAGAAAAAAAAATCAAATAGCTATCTGGTTATAAAAACACATTGCGTTCTGTTTGCTGCGAGAAATGTACAATGAGGGACCTTGTTCGATTATTTATATCATCAATTTGAAACAAGTCCTGAGCAGTTGGTCATCCACAGAGAAAACACCGCTTGGTTTGTTTCCTGACTTAAGTAGACAGTATAAATACATAGCGGTTATTCATTTACTGCAAAGCGCAAAGTCGGATGGCAGTTTCTAAAACAAGACAAAGATCACAGACCCTACCTATCGACTAAGCATCCCGTGCAAAAAAACAGTTTGGTCCATGTTATCTGCGTCCCTTCTTTAACAAATTCATCTTCCCATTTGTGTACCCTTTGTTTAGTTAACAAGTTAGGTCTGGGGGCGCCTGGGTGGCGCAGTCGGTTAAGCGTCCGACTTCAGCCAGGTCACGATCTCGCGGTCCGGGAGTTCGAGCCCCGCGTCGGGCTCTGGGCTGATGGCTCAGAGCCTGGAGCCTGTTTCCGATTCTGTGTCTCCCTCTCTCTCTGCCCCTCCCCCGTTCATGCTTTGTCTCTCTCTGTCCCAAAAATAAATAAACGTTGGAAAAAAAAAAAAAAAAGGTCTGTTCAGGATAGCTCTGAAAACGAGTCACTGTCCACTTGAGGCAAACAAACAAAATCCCAGGCAGTCATAGTCCCTCAGCAGATTATAAAATACGGATCACATACATGGAAATTGAACAATACGCCAAACGAAGACAGAAGAGTTTGGCTCTCATTCCGGCCGACACAGCTCAGAAGTGGTTTCTTGGCTCAATCCCATGTACTCGCTATGTTTCCATTTCCATTCTTACAAAACTTGAGGTTGGACTAGTTAATTTCTAAGACCACCGCAGCTCTCCAATTCCATTCTTTGACACTGACCCCCTCCCCACCTTTTTTTTTTCCCCCTTTGGGTAATTACATCCAATGTCTGTTTCTCCAGAAGACCATGGCTCTGCCCTAAAAGAACGACCATCAACAGGATATTTTCCAACTGGGACAATTCAAAAGTTGGGCTTTCTTAATTAAAAAAAAAAAAAAAGTCATTGGTCCAGCTTTATTTTTCCAGATAAAAGGTTTATTTTTTTTAAATTTTCTTCTTTCCATCACATTTTCAATTATCCACCACACCCCTCTAGTAGGGATGATCAACCCAACTACTGCACCATTTAAGAGTCATGCCTTCACTGGGACTTCATGCTCTAACTTAAGGTCTCTAATCATTATTAGATTTGACAATTTGAAGTCACACATTTTTAACTCACGGGGAAACTGCCCAGATGTACCCAGAAAAGATTGTGGACTCTGTCTGAAGCAGCAGCGAACAATGAGGGGGAGGGCCCAGATGCCAGCCTCAGTCTCCAAGAGTGTTTCAAGGAGGGATTTACGAGCCAATCTTAAGATTCCTGAGGACTAAGGGCAGAATTCACAATGGGCTGTGTAATCCTTTATAAGAAAATCTTAAAATCCCAAGAAGCTTAGAGCTTTCATCTCATGTAGCTTTTGTCAAGAGTGCTCCTTGGGTAAACACAGTAGTTCTTGAGGAAAGGAACAGAAAATCTTTGAGGAAGAACGTTACACAGAACCTATCGCCAGTGTGAAAAGGGTCAGTGAGTTCCAGACCACGGCCATGCAACTATAATGGAAACGCTTTGATTATAGGAAATAACTGAACTCAATTGAACTAGTAAACTCAAATATGGATGAAATATACCCTGAAAACATATTCAGATCCATTATGGCCTCGTTGGTAAAGACTGGAATCCCGGGCTTCTGTAAGGTGTACGAAGCTGGAAAACAGAACCCTTGTCCTCGCTTCGCTTGCTCTGGGATATTAGATACGTCACTTAACCGTTTTGGAGCCTTCATTCCTCAACTGTAAAATAAGGACACAGGTGGCATAGTGGACACATACCGGAGTCAAACGGGGGGTAAAAAAAATGTTTATGGGTGAATGTGGTTATGAGGACTGAATGTAGTCACATAAGCACTGCCTGGTCAAGCCACTGCCTGACACACAGCGTCACATTACCACTCTCCCTTTCAACTTAAATATAAGTCCTACGTTCTCTCACCTCCTATCCTGCAATTAATCCCTTGCCTCTATCCCTTGGTCAGAATTCCTCTTGGTCTACCCTAGTATCACCTCTTAAATTCCCTTCCGTAATTGGCAAAAGTCAAAAGGTCTGATGATACACTCTCGGCGAGGACGTAGGCACAAATGCGGCTTGCGTAGGATTGGTCAAGAGCTAGCCCCGAGACAACCGTTTGGAGAGTCATTTGGTGCTATCCATAAATTATAAGCTGTACCTAACCTTTGGCCCAGGCTTTCCACTTCTAAAATTTATTGGACAGATACGGCCACTTGCGTCTGAGAATGGAGGTTAGAGCAAAGTTTGTAAAGCAGAACAACACAAACAACTCAACAACGAGCTATAATCCATAGGTCGAAGGTAGTAAAGGGAGGGAGAGAGGGAGGGAGGGAGGGAGAGAGAAAGACGAATGGAAGGAAGGAAGGAAGGAAAGAAAGAAAGAAGGGAGGGAGACCACAGGACCCAATTTTTGTAGAAGACCAAAGAAGGAATCTGAATTGCGTATATGCTTATGAGTAGAGGATGTTTCAGGAAGAACACTCGAACTGCAAAGAGGGCCTTTCTTATTCTCACCGTTTATGTGTATGCGTTATTTTTTAATGAACAAAAACGATTTAAAAATGAAAGAAATCACACAAATACATTAAAGGGCACATACTCAAATCCCACCTTCTTTTCCGGGGACGAATGTGCTCCCCAAAGTCTGTGTGCCCGGTACGAGAGCCCGCGTTTATGCGGGCCATTGAATCTCTTGGGCGGTAAGCTCTATTTTGTCTCCACCTTTCAGGGCTTCTGTTTCCTCGGGACAGTGGTGCAATGGTGTCCGGGGACTGACTGATGTCTCATTTATGGAATGCCCACCATGCACCAGGAAGCTGACCACTCTTGTACCTGTTGTCATATTTAACTTAATGCGCCCCAGGAACCCCGGGAAATAAATCTCATCCCTCTAATTGGATGAAGGAGGTCATCGAAGCTCTGCCCACGTGTATACAGCTAGCACGGTGAGGTGGGAAAACGCAAATCCCTGTTCGATGTCGCGCATCGGGGTGAACCCAGGTAGTAGGGTGCATCCTAGAGGTGGGCTCACCCCCCCCCATCCTTCCGGTGAGTTCTCCTACACCGTGGAGCTAAAAAGCTAGACTCGGTGCAGCTAGGGTTCTGACGTGACTAAGGTTCTGCCAGTCAAAGACAGACCACGGCATCGTGGGGCACGTGCTCAGAGGCATTTACGTGTGTGGCCGTAGGGGTGGAAGGAGTCTCGACGTCTTGGCCGCCAGCTTTCTGCGCATCCGTGCCACCCGTCCCGTTTTCCGGACGAACTGGTAAGAGATCGTAGGAGACCTCCAGCGGCAGCAGCGGGAAGCCTCCCCGTTCCTCGGCGTTTTGTTGAGGATGAAGAGGCAACTCTTGCCAAGGTCCATTCCGTGACGTGGCTGTGGGGGAACGATTCTGAACGAGTGGCCTTCTCGACCGGTTCTGCAAGCTACTTAATAGTCTCTACCGAGATGCCTTCCCAGGTAGAACCAGTGGGTCCCGTCGTAGGCTTCCTATTAACTCTTAAAACTGGACAGATCAGAACTTCTGAAAACGTAGCCAACCCCTGACACACTCTTGTACAACGTAGAGCCCCTCCGAGTCACGTTCCTCTTGAGTCACGGGCTATGGGGCACCCGTCAGCCACAGGCCCCTGGATGACTCACTGTGTCTGTTCCCACCTCTTGTTCGAGGAGTACAGCTGCTTCTGGTCTTCTCAGAGCCACGTGCACCAGATCTCCTCTCCCAACTCTGTTTTCTACAACAGCACCCGGAGCAACGCCCCAGAAGGCAAATTTGTCTATGCCACACGTCAGTACACCTGCCTACGTGTTGTAGGGGCTTCCCTCTGCTGTGAAAAGAAACCTTGAACGCTAACGAAGAATATAGTTTATACAGTAAAGCAGAGTAATCCTATCATAGTAACATCTATGCTCTGTCCGGAACTATTCTACGTGCTTCGCCGTGCTCGGTGAACGAAGACCATCCTCCTACTCCGACCTGTGGGGCCTGCCTAACCCGGCTCTCTGGCCACAGCATGGGTCACACGGGCTCTCAGTTCCCTGGACTCAGGCTGCACTGGCCTCTTCAGCTCCCCTGTGTCAGACCTGCTGCTCCCTTGACCTGCCGGACAAGGAGCCCCCCTGCCTCCTCCCTCTCCTCCTTCATCTGTCACCCCAGGTAGAAAGTCTTTAAAACCCCCGGGCCAGGGGCGCCTGGGTGGCTCAGTTGGTTGAGCGTCCGACGTTGGCTCAGGCCATCATCTCGGGGTCCGTGGGTTCGAGGCCCACACTGGGATCCTCTGTCCTCCTCTCTCTCTGCCCCTCCCTGCGCAGGCTCACTCTCTTAAAGATAAATAACTAAAGAAAAAAAATTTTTTAAAAGCAACCCCCCAGGCCAGCTAAGCTCCCACCAGCTCCCAGAATCAAAAATATACGCCCGTAGTTATACCTCGATTAGAACAATTATCTGTTCAACGTCTGTGCTCCCAACTCTATGCCTGTACGTT